AAATGTAATTTGAAGATAATGAGGCTGACTACACATTTCATAGCCAGACTGAGAAGTGCACTGGATCCTTCTGTTTATAAAAGCTCATGAGGAAGCTACACTGTCTTATTGGTCCTCTTCATGCTGTGGGGTATTCCAGTGCCACAAAGAACGCTGACATTCAGTGTGAGGTGGGCACAAAGGTTTTACCTTTGAAAATGTTTTATCTATCTATCTAATCTATCTATCTAATCTATCAGCAAAATCCCTTTAGAGTTTGTGCATAATTTCTGTCTCTAAAAGAGAGTTCTGCCTGTGTCAGAACTTTAAACATTCTTGCAATATCATATCCTCCCCAGGATTGCATTAGCCATGCCGTTCTCACATCCACAGTGCTGGCTCCTGGCCTCCTTAGAGAATTTGAAGGGAAAAGAGAGAATAACAGACATTTACATTTTGGATTGATCAAAATCTAAATTCTTACTGCTGGAAACTACAAGTTAAATAGATGAAAGAGTTGTTAACTGTTGTTGTTGTTATAATGATGGTCTTATGCTTGAGCAAATCCATTACGTTCACGAAACACCTGCACCTCCTAGAATTTCCCCTTTGCACAATGTCACCTGTCAGTGACAGCGGAGCTGATTAGCTGTATAATTTGCAATTGACTACATCTGTCAAGAAGACAGTCCTATAATCCAGCTTTTCTTTTTGTAATGAAGCTGAGGATGGGGTTAAGCAGTATGAGTTTTCACTGTTATTCAGGTCATGAAAGATAACTGGTACTAATGTGATCTAAGATGGAAAACTCACGGCTTGACCTAGATGATTAAAGTTAGTTTGTTGGTTTTTTTATCATCCAGCAAAAGTAGAGCCTGAATCGGCTCTACAGAAGCCAAAAGGTCTAGCAACCTAACCGCCTAACTAAATCATTTCTGCTTGTGGGAAGAAAGTGTGTTCACATTATAACAGGCTTCCCTCTGCTTCCATTTTTGTATGTAGGGATTAGGAGATCATTTCAGTTGAATAGGGTGAAGTTTGTGCCATATGTAAAGGTGGTGTCTTAGTGTCAAATGTTGTGTAAAATGGAGGAAAATGAACTTCTGTTTGATAGTGCTTGGCTCCTTCCAAAGAGTTCTTATCCTATGTGATCTCAGTGGGAGCCTCAGAAGTTTTATAGGCCATGAAAGAGTCAGTTGGTGGTTCTTCTTTCACATGTTTTGAAGTGAAGGTTTAAATGAAAGCCGGATCTCCTTCAGGGCTTTCTCTGATCAGAGTAAACGTGCACAGACACATACTTCTCTCCGAAGAGAACTCCATGTCCTGTTCAAATTGGGATCCTGGCCATGTCAGCTACAAACATACTGAGACAGAGCCTTTATCAAACATACATAATTGGGTTCTCAAAGCAAATCCCTGTTTATGCTGGTCAAGGAGATTGTTCGAATCCTGCTCGTGATGCCGTTTGTTACTGACATTGTAGCTACCCACTCTGTGATCCCAACCGAAGAGAACTCCATGTCCTGTTCAAATTGGGATCCTGGCCATGTCAGCTACAAACATACTGAGACAGAGCCTTTATCAAACATACATAATTGGGTTCTCAAAGCAAATCCCTGTTTATGCTGGTCAAGGAGATTGTTCGAATCCTGCTCGTGATGCCGTTTGTTACTGACATTGTAGCTACCCACTCTGTGATCCCAATA